GCTGTGTTCCAGGGGTGAGGGGGAGAAGGAAATGGGGAGTTATTGTTTAATGGGTATAAAGTTCCAGTTTTGAAAGATGAAAAGAGTTCTGGAGATTGCACAATAATATTAATGTACTTATTACTGAACAGTACAGTTAAAAATGGTCAAGACGATAAATTTTATTTTGCATGTATTTTACCACAATTGAAAATAAAATTTTAAAAATATGGACGCAAACACCAGAAGAGAACTGAAAAAAGAGTTTCGCAATAGGTGACTCAGGGAGCAAAGAGTGAGGGAGGAAAAGAGATGTGGGCAGGGATGACTGATTTTCTTTATAATATCAGTAGTAAATGTTTCATCTTTTAAACTAAATACTTATGTTGATTAAAAAATAAAATTATATTAAAATGAAAAAAAAAATTTGGTTGAGCAGGTCACCTAAACTCTTGGTGAATGACATCTTCAAAATAAGTGGGTTTGGTGGCCTGAGTTATTATTTCCTAATTCTCTCTAACTATTTCTATTACTCTCCCCAAGTAAGTAATAGGTATTTGAGAAAATACACTGATGTTAATAAAATTACATGGAAAAGTAAATTGTAGTAATATAACAATTTCATCAAAATTCAAAGATTTTTGCACAATAATGAAAAATGGAAGGCTATAAAGATGTTAAAAGACATAATGAGTTATTTTTAGTAAAGATGAATTCTGAGTATTAAGTACTCTCAAGGCTTTATAGTTTAGTGGAACTGAGTGATACTTTTGAAACTTTAGTCTACACCTCTGGTTAAACATTTCTATCATTCGCATGCCCAAGGAAGTTAAAGTAAAATTCTATGGAACATGAGTCTTCTGACCCAACTCTTGACAAAGGCCTGAATCTTTTCCCTACTTTCCTGGAAGTAGTTGTAATCACTCCTTCTCTAGCCCCTTTTATTCATCATTCACTTGTATCACTTTTTATTTACATGAAAACCTGTCCTTGTAAAATTTCCAAACAATATAGAAGTGTGCAGAGGAAAACACAGAATTTCCCTTTTTATTCCTCCCTTCACTCACACTGGCTCCCCTCTCCAGAATACCCAAAGCTCATAGTTCGGGTTGTACTCTGTAGCTCCGAGCACGTGACTGTTCTTTACATAAATGGAATTGCTCTCATGTGTGTGTTCACTCACTCTGTATGTATGTATCTGCGTGTACAGCTTGCTTTTCTGATTTAACAAAATGTCTTGGACAGCTTTCTGTGTCAATACATTTTGTTTTACTTCATTCTTATTAGTGGCATTAAAATGTTCCACAACAGGAATACATCATAATTTATTTTACCACTTTTTTATTGATGCACATTTGGGCTGCAATTATCATTCCTTTGCCTAAATTTGTGTTCACATATAATTATTTCTATAAGACAGATTCCTAAAACACATTTCTATTTTAAGGAGCAAGTAAGGTATTGTCAAATTGCCTTCCACAAAGCCTTCACCAATTTACAGCGCCACCAATGTACACAATAATCCTCCTTTCAGGCATCCAAAGCTAACACTTAATCTTTTTAGTTTTATAAAAAGATAGATAAAAAAATCTAATGTTGCTTTTTTACATTGCAATTCCTTGATTACTAGTGAGATTTAACATTCTTGTTTGTCATCTATCTATATATCGTCACCCATGAATTGCATATTCCTATCACATAACCACTTTTCTGTGGATTCTATCTTTTCTTATTGATTTGTGGGAGACATACATACATGTTTCAACAGTTACGAGCGTTGCACTATCTCCTTTCAGTTAATGGCTTGTCTCTTAATTTCATTGATAGTGTCATATTATGTGGAAATATTACATTTTTGTCAAATTATGAAGCTTTGCTTTACTGTTTATATTTTTTGTGTTTTGTTTAAGGTATCTCTCCCTACTGTGAAGTCATACAGATAGTCTCCTATACTTGCTTGTAAAGGCTTTGAGCTTTTGCTTTTCATATTTAAATCATTAATCCAACTGGAAATGATTTTGTATATGATAGTGACATATATATACATAGCAGGGATCACTATATATTGTTTCCTTATAGACCGCCAAATGTCTCAGTATCGTTTATTGAAAAGTCTATCCTTTCTTTACTGATCCACAGTGCTATTTTGTCCAATATCAAGTTTTTACACATGCATGAGAACACAACTGGGCTATGCATTCTGTTCCATTGGTTAAATTCTCTTTCCTTGCACATGAAACCAACTGTGTTCCTTTCTCTAATTCTATAATAAGTCTTTATATCTGGTAGGCCAAGTCCCTATGTTAGGCTTCTTTTTCAAGTTTGTTTTGGCTATTTTGGAGTCTCTGCTTTTCCATACACATTTTATAATCAGCTTGTCGGTGTCTCAGAAAATTCTGTTGGGATTTTGACCAGAATACATTGAATATGTAGCTCTATTTTGGGAGAACTAATATATTTTGGTATTGAATCTTATTATACCTGAATATGTATCTCTCTCTCATTTAATTCAGCCTTCTTTACCTTTTTGTAAAGTTTTAATTTTTTTCTCCATAAATATCTTGTACATATTTCACTTGATATATTCCTAGGTACATTATGTTTTTTCTTGCTATCATAAAAAGTACCTTTTCAAAATTATATTTCTAATTGTTTGATGTTTGGTTTTAGTTACATCGTCTTTTTAATGCCACACTCTCGACAATGTTGTTATTATTATTTCACAGATCATAGAGATCATGTTTGTTTACCTACATATTTTCCAATTTATTTTCCCTCCATTCTTTCTTACATCTCATAACTTGCTTCTGGAGTCATTTTCTTGCTTTCAGATGCACATCCTTTGCAAGGTCCTTTAGTGAAAACCTATGCAGAGTAAATTCTCTGTTTTTTTTCTTTCTGGAAATGCCAATCTTTCTCCTTTGTTCTTGAAAGTTAGTTTTGCTGGGCAAAATAACATCTCTTCAGTTATCATTCCACTGTTGCTGCCAGTTGATTTGTTGTTCTTTGTAAGTGACTTTTCTTCCTAGCTGATTTTAAGTCTTTGTTGTTGCCTTTGGTGTTCTTCAGTTGTACCACAAGGAGTTTTTCTTAGCTTGTGGAGAGCTTTCAGCGTCTGTGAATTCACATCTTTCATTACTTCTGAGAAGTTACAGTCATTATCTCACTGGACAATGACTGTCAACATTCTCTTGATTCTCGCTTTCGGGGACTCTAAGTGTATGTTAAATCTTCTTTTTTTATTGTCCATATTTCTTTACCTCTTGTCTGCATATAAACAATAATTTCTTCAGATTTCTCTTCATGTGTGTATAATTGTCTGTTTAGCCCATGCACCAAGTTAATTTCAACTATTACACTTTTAGTTTCTAGAATTTCATTTCATTTAAAATTTCTTTTTCATATTTGCCTGGTCACATTTGATGGTCTTTTCCTCCTTAATTATTTTTAAAATTATATTTTATTTCTTTAAACACTTCAAGTAGATATTTCATATTCTGTTATCAATTCTAATACCTTAGATCCTTGGAGATTTGCATCTGTTGATTGTTTTTGCTGATTCTACTCTTGGTGGCTTATTTCCTCATGTCTTTGGAAATTTCTTTAAATTGTGAGATAATATTCATTTGAACTTAATTATCTGGAATCTTCAAAGTCTAAATTGATAACGTTTCTCTCAGAAACGTTTGTTCTTCTGGAAGAGACATATTCACTGCTCTGGGACCACTTAGTTCATTTTTGGGTACAGATTTGACTCAGAAATGTCAGATTCAGTTTCCCTACTTTGTGGTGCATTCAAATCTCTTGGTCCCATATCTGTTTACCACTCACTAGTTAGGTCTTAATTCTTTTAAAAAATTTTTTGTCCTTGGACATTTTTCTTACTTTCTCGTGTGCATTCAAATCTTATGAGCATTGACATTTCAGTGCATTAAAATTGAAAACTTCGGGCCTGGTTCCTTTTTTTTTTTGTGAGGAAGATCAGCCCTGAGCTAACATCCAAGCCAATCCTCCTCCTTTCTTTTCCTTTTTTCTCCCCAAAGCCCCAGTAGATAGTTGTCTGTCACAGTTGCACATCCCTCTAGTCGCTGTATGTGGGACACTGCCTCAGCATGGCCAGACAAGGCGTGCGTCAGTGCACGCCCAGGATCCGAACCCAGGCCGCCAGTAGCAGAGTGCATGCACTTACCCGCTAAGCCATGGGGCCGGCCCCGAGCCTGGTTCCTTTTTTATTGGCAGATTTTTAATCACCTTTTTAAATTTCTCCAATGTTTACCAGTCTGTTCAGGTTTTCCTGCCTTTTATTGAGTCAATACTGGTAATTTATATACTCCTGGGAAGACATTTTACTTAGGCATACAACTAATATTTGTTAAATCAATAATACAAGCACTGATGATCAATACTGCAGTAAAAATAGTTTTATACCATCTGAAGTAAGTGAGATAAGCCTGAGTGGACTGAAAGTGTGGGGTTTAAGAACCCCAGTCCTGAGAGTAGGCAGTGATTCTCACACTAGTCATTGATGGTGTGAGTCTAGTCTCACACTAGACTCACACTAGTCTTCCCGAGGAAGAGAGGTTGCCCTATGCGTGTCTGCTGTATTCCAGGTCTCTAAGAAGTGAGAGTAGAGTAAAGCATTGTCCTGCATAGTGTGCCTGGGACTAGAGAATCTTTTCTTGGAAGAACCTACTTCTATGACCTTAGTAATTCATAGAAAAGATTTATACCACAACTGTGTAGATGTTGCCAGCCACACTTCAGCAATCTATACCTCACATTGGATTTAAGTAATAACTTGAGAATATTAGAAGATGGGCTGAATTCAGACTACATTACAATGCCTGCAGAGCCTCAAGGAGCAATTTGAAGAACTGTGTGTATATTTTGGTGTGTGGTGTGGGGTACGTGTGTGTGTGTGTGTGAATGTGTGTGTGTGTGTTTTAGTAGTAAAACTGTCATCTGGGCCTGTAATGAAGAACATTTCAAATCCTTAAAAGAGGGCTTCAGAATTTGCTCACCATTTTAGTAACTTTTGAATTTTCCCTGGGATCACATCATAACGTTTCCATAGATTATTTTTTAAAAAGAACAAAGAAGTAAGTTGAGTAAGACTCTGTGGACTATTCAAAGAGTTTTCTCTCCAAAGACTAGGATGAGTATAATTATTCTCAAACAGGATACTTTTCAGGTTAAGCTTCAAAATTCCAGGTGGAAAAGCAGTCAGGTCATTCCCATCAACAAGCAATTTTTCAAGTGATCTGCAAATAAAGGAAACTATATTTTAAAAGGTATCCATGCAATTTATAATACTGAAGTAAAAATCTGTCCCAATGGTCTTGAAAATTGGTATTAAACTTAGTAGCAATAAAATACAAATGTTTAAGTATTTCCTTAGAATCAAGAGAATTAACTTAAAAAGCAACTGAACCCGTGTGTTATTATGCAAATAAGTGCATTTGTGTGAATAATAAAGTTAAAGCATGTATTTCAGGTCTTTGCAACATGTCATCACTATGGGAAAAGAAATAATATTCACAAACATTGCAAGAGGAATGAATGTTACATTACATAAAATACAATGTAGTATAGTATAATGATACAAAGAAAAAATATATTTTCACAGACAAATTATACACCAATGCATATTTTTTCATTCAAGCCCTATTAAAACAGTGAAATTAACACATCAAAAGGTATTATGTGTTATATTGTACTTTAACTTTTCATCACCTGAGTCCCCTTGGTTTTTACTGTGTCAGTTGCTTCTAATAACTCTTATTCCTTTACTCAAAGAGAATCAACATTACTGATTTTCTCATTTTATAGCACATCCCTTACAGGACATTTGGTCCCGTCCAAAATGTCAATAAGACATTTGGTCCATAAGATATTTGGTCGACACCAAAAGGTCCTTGATATTTGCAGGACCATTTGGTCCTGTCCAAACTGTCCATCAGACATTTGGCCCATGCCAAAACATCCTCAATATCTGGTCATATTTAGTCCATACCAAAAGTTCCTTGATATTTGCAGGACCATCTAGTCTTGTCCCAAGTGTCCATTAGACATTTGGTCCATGCCAAAAGCTTCTTAATATCTGGTCATATTTGGTCCTGTTGGAAACATCTATGGAGAGATTAGGTCCATGTCAAAAGATCCTTGATATTTGGTCCCATCCAAAACCATTCGGCATGGACCAAATATGCTGATGGGTGTTTTGGACAGGACCAAACGTTAAGGATCTTTTGGCATGGACCAAATTTCTGATAGACCAAATGTCTTAGGGACATTTTGGAGAGAACCAAATATCAAGGACCTTTTGACACGGACCATATGTCTTATAGATGTCTTGGATAGGATCAAATGTCTGTTAATGCACTTGTCTTGATGGTGTTTTTTACAGTCACTTATCTCCTTTTTAATTAGTGTGGGAAACAGGCAGAAAAGTGTCTGTTCATGGGGGAACATATGAAAATCAAATCAAAGGCTAGTCCAACTTGTCAAATGTGTTGGGGTGAAGAGGCTGACACACGGCCTTCAGGTAACAAGCAGCTGGGGGCCCAGAGGTTTTCATTTGCAGTCTAGTTTCACATCTCTTACCCACACGATTCAAGTTCTTTAATTATGACTCCTGTTCACAACATTAAAACATGGTCAAAGCAGGTCATTATTTGAAGCAAGGAGGTTAGGAAGATGGCGTCTCAGCTATCTTCATCCCTCAACCACAGTTTGACTATTGCACTTCTCACAGTCTGCAAAAGGTAAGGGAGACCCCAGGCTCTGCTTCAGTCCTGAAGGAGAGAGCTGGCATGGTCACTTTTTTCCTCTACATCAAACACAAGCCTCAGGGCCAGCAGCAGAGAACAACCAGAATTAGGGTGGTGCTCTCTAGGGAAACGCCAGTGAGGGTCTCCAGAACACCCACGGATGAGGCTGCCCCTGCCTGAGTTGATTTATCTGAGAGGCCCCACCAGTTTGGGTGCACCCTTCCTCTCAGTGAGTTCTGGGGGAGCTCGGTAGGCTAAACAATCTTTAAAGCTAGAGGAGCTCCATGTTTAGACAGCCTTTGCAGCTGAGCATCCTAGGAAGCAGAGAAACTTCCTCCTGCTACACCACTGACGCTCTCGGTGCCCTGAATGATGCTCTGATACTGCCATTGGACCTGGCAGAAGACAGAGCAGCCAGAGGAGAAAAACAAAACACACGGAATAGTGTTCCTGAAGCAAGCACATTCTGTGGAGACAGACAAAAAGTTGGAGCGGGGGGCAGGAGAAACAATGAGAGGCAAATATGGCACGTGCATACACGCACTCACACACACACACAAAGACTTTCTTAAAACCAAAATACACGATTTGTAAAGCTCAAAAAATTAAGTGGGTGAACTGAAGAAGAACATGGTCTTTGAGGAGATCTGAATTAGAGGCAAAAACAAAGTAGAAGAAATAACTCAGAGTAAAACTATAGAGAAAAATCATGAGGAAAGATATAAATGCTGTAGACAGATACAGGAGACCTAAGATAAAATTAAAGGCATTGCAGGAAGAGAAAATGAAATAAATGGAGGAGGAGAGGCAATAATTAAACATATTACCTTAACTAAAAACAACACTAGAGCTGGCTACCTAAGAGCTCGTTTAATTCCAGGGAAGCTAGGTTAAAAAAAGAAAGACACACTCTTAAGGATAATCTGATAAAATTCTCGAAGATGAAGGATTATGAGAAAAATCTCAGTCTTTCCAGATAACAATAAGAACTACTTACAAAGAGAAAGAAATCAAGCTGGCCTCAGGTGCCTCGTCTGCGACACTGGAAGCTAGAGGAGGACGTGCTGATGGACACTGCTTGTGAGAAGGGCTGCAAGGCAAGACTGCCCACCCATTCGAGACACCATGTATCTACCAGGATTAAAGGTTCAGAGAGAAAATCATGCACGTACTCCATCTGACGAAAATAAATAAAGAAAATCTCTAAAGGGCCAATGAATCAAAGGAGACATCTCCAGGTTGAAGAGGAGATGAAAGGAGTGCAGTAAGCAATGAATCTTGAAATACACAGAGTTAAATATAAACGGGGAATGACTGAAAATGCTTGTGAGAGCTAAGTGCTAAATAAATAGTCTTCAAATAAAAAGAGACAAAATGCAAAGGGAAATGCTAATGAGAATCTGAAACAAAAGTTTCTAAACTCTCTCAGCAAAACCTAGAGTTAGATAAGGGGTGAATGCATTTGGAGGGAAAGTGGGAAAATAAAAGTATTCTAAAGGGCTCAACTACTGGTGGAAGGCAGCAGTGGGGAGAAAGATCATCATGGTGGGGGAACTAGCTTACATCTTGCTTTTATAAAATATTAAAGAAAAACATGTTTGTTTGTGAGTTTGGGGAAAGGAAAGATAGCCATTAAGACTGGGAAAGTACAGTAGAGTTCCAAAATTAACAAGTGAGAAAAAAGAGAACAAACAGCATCCTGAAAGAAAAATCACATACACACACAAAAAGGAAAAACGAAAAGGAGAAAGTAAGTAATTAGTAAATACAAAGTAAAATAAAAGACAAAAAGATAAATAAATCAGTCATAACAAATGCGAAGAGGCTGAAATCCCCTTTTAAAATACAAAGATCGTCACATAGAGATTAAATAATTGGTATAAATATTTTAAAAGCAGAGATAAAATTATCTCGTTTTACTGAAGATAAATGCTCCTAGAAAACTCAACCAGAACTAAGATAATTTGGTTACATAGCTTGATTTTAAATTAATGTAAAGAAGTACATAGCTTTTCTCTATTCTGCACTGGCAATAGTCAGGTAGAAATGGAAATCAGAGAAAATATTACATTCATAGTAGCAACACAATTATAAAATACTTAGAGAAGGTTAGTAAGAAAGATAAAGAACTTGTATGAAGCGAGTCATAAATTTTTAGGAAGAACATAAAACAAGATCTGAACAAATGAGAAAATACATTTTGTTTCAGGACAGAAAAATTTATTATCATCAGAAATGTAAATTCTTCAACATTTACATGTAAACAGTGCAATTCCAGTCAAAATCTCAATTTGATGTCTGTGTTTTTTGGGGGAGGAGGGGCTTCGAATTATCTTAAAGATCACGATTTAAAGAGAATAGTTAAAAGACTATTGAAAAATAATCTCCCTACTAGTTATTAAAAATTATCCTAAAGTCGTAATAAAAATAGTATGGTTACTGTCCCAGAAGGACATAGATGAACCTCAGAGATTTTTTAAAAATTAATGTGAGGGGCTGGCCCCCTGGCTTAGTGGTTAAGTGCGCGTGCTCCGCTGCTGGCGACCCGGGTTCGAATCCCGGGCGCGCACCGAAGCACCACTTCTCCCGCCATGCTGAGGCCGCGTCCCACGTACAGCAACTAGAAGGATGTGCAGCTATGACATACAACAATCTACCGGGGCTTTGGAGGGGGAAATAAATAAATAAATAAAATCTTTAAAAAAAAAATTAATGTGAGAAAGAATTAGATCTTAGTATTAAAATTACACTGTGTATTATTAGCACTTTGTATATATGTACTTCCTTACAAAGAATAAATAAAACTGATAATAACTGCAGGTGCACACATGAAAAATGGACAAAAGTAGTTTGTCATTCTATTAAGTGGGCATCAGTAGTGTCCTTTAAATAATTACTGAAAATGTTATATATTAAAAATACTATACACCAATCATTCAAATTACCTTTTGGTAAACTTCACGCTTTACATATTATGCTTTACAGCTATTAAACAAATGAAAAGACTCAATCGTCACCATCATGATCATCATCAAATATACCCTTAAGGGGCCTATGACTTTGTGTGTACTTACTACTTCCAAAATACCTGAGTTTCTGGATTTCATTTGGAATAAAAGCAATATTATTGTAGGAAATATCAAATGTCTCAAGATGGAACAAGGAAAATAACCTTAAATAAAAAGAAAAAATGATTATATGTTTGTCATTACTGGGCATAAATAAAGAATCAAATACTTGAATATAGGTAGAAGTACAGAGAAACTGTATTTTTCTAAGATCTTGAAATTTATATTGACTTCTTTTCATTATAGGTAGTGTAATTACAATGAAAGTTCCTAAAAATTATTCATCTATCCCTTCAGACTGGTTTGAATGTTTGGAGTAGAAAAGCCCTGTCTAGAAAAAGCCACCTGAGAAATTCCTAACAACATTTAGATATAATTTTTCCTGATTGCTGTATTAGTTTCCAAGGGCGACATAAAAAATTAACACAATCTGGGCAGTTTAAAACAACAGAACTTTATTCTTTCACAGTTCAGGAGCCCAGAAGTCCGAAATCAAGGTGTCGGCTGGAGGCTCTGAGGGAGAAACTATTCTTTGCTTCTCTCCTAGCTTCTGGTGGTTTCTGGCAATCCTTGGTGTTTCTTGCTTTGTGTCAGCATAACTCCAATCTGTGCCTTTGTCTTCACATGGCCAGAGTGCCATTTATTGGATTTAGAGCCCACCCTAATGCAGTATGACCTCATATTAACGTAACTAATTATATCTGCAAAGATCCTATATCCAAATAAGGTCACATTCTGAGGTTCTGCATGGACACGAATTTTTGAGGGACACTATTCAACCTAGTGTAGTTGCATTAAGATTTTCCTAGTGAAACATCTTTGGTCTTTCTTTCCATTAAGCTAAGAACTTAAAAGTAAGAACCAAAGAACACAAAGATTCTGTAACACGGAGAGCCCTGTCTCCTAGGAGGTGGGAGTTGGAGTTGCTTCTTAAAGACTGAAATTGAAGAACTAAGCGGGACATTTACCAAAATCCCTCGTACATATCCCCCTTTTTGTGTATACTGTTCTCAAATACCTTTCTGTTTCCCATATAAATAAAAGATGACAAATTACTTGCATAATTATTAATTGAAGCATCATGAGCACAATATTTCATTAACTTCCTATTATCTTAGCGTGGCATATAATAGTCCTCAGGATGTGGCCTCAGACCACTTGTCCAGCTCACCTCTCACACACCCGCCCCATATTCATTGACGGTCCAGCATTTATTTGCTAAAATTCCCTGAATTAGCCAGTTCTCACATATCTCCCAATACCGACCGTATACAATTCCCCCAAACTTGACTCTTCTATCAGTGTCTTCATTTTTTAAGCCTTGGCTCAGATATCACCTCTTCCAAGGAACTCTTCTGGAATCTTTCAGTCCAGGTAAGCTGCCTCTTCTGTACCTCTCTGCTTACCTCTACCATAGAACTTATCACATTGTGTCATAATTGTCTCCTAAACTATGAGGTTCTGGAGGCCAAGGATTCAATTTTACATTTTTATATATCCAATGCTCTGCACAGTGCCTACATGATAAGTGCTTAGTAAATCTCAATTGAATGAGAGCAATGGTGATCCCAGTTACCTTAAAATCATTTGCTCTGAGAAATTAATGAGAATGAACAGAAAAATAAAAGAAATGCCTTTTCAGTTCAGTGTTCTTCTCAGACTTCTTATCATCTCTGTAAAGAAAATGTTAATACCATCTGTTCCATTTTTCAGTTCAAAATTATGTTATTTTATTTTATTGGCCTCAGGCAGTTTCTAGAATCATTTTGTCTTCCCTTATTACTTCAGTACTGGCAAACTAGTCTGGTTCCAGGCTTTTACCACTGATGTTATATTCCTGTTGATCATGATATTTAATAGCGCTTGCAGACAGCTTTGAAGAAGCTAATTAAGAAACTTCATAGGTTCTAGAGTTGAAATTTACCTCATCTATATATATGATTTTAGAGAGAAAATCTGTTTAGACATCAGTTTGGTTTGATACTTTATACCCCACTAGCACCAAATCTATCATAATTTTTAGATGTGTAGAATGTTTTACATTTATTTCATTGCTTTATTTATCAGGACATCATTGAGCAATGAGCGACTTAAACTAAAGCCCTGCTGATGGCTTGGAAAATTAGGCTAGCATTAATAATTGCATATAATACCGTTAATCACCACCATGGCAATATAAATATCATTTATCGAGAGCCTACTATGTGCTCATGGCAATTTAGAATGATCTTTCACTGGACCACTGCAAGACTGTTAATATTTTTTACAGATTAAAAATCTGAAGCTACTGGGCCAGCCCCATGGGGTAGCAGTTAAGCGCGTGTGCTCCGCTGCTGGCGGCCCGGGTTCGGATCCTGGGCGTGCACCTACACACCGCTCGTCAGGCCATGCTGTGGCGATGTCTCACATAAAGTGGAGGAAGACAGGCACGGATGATAGCTCAGGGCCAGCCCTCCTCAGAAAAAGAGGGGGATTGGCATGGATGTTAGCTCAGGGCTGATCTGCCTCACACACAAAAAAATTGGACGCTACAAGAGATTAAGTAACTTACCCAAGTCAATATGAAGTTAAATATAGCTAGCCCTTTCTTTCAGATATATGAATACAACATAATTTAATCCCTATCTTTAATCAATAACAATATGGGGAAATAAATGTGTACATTTCCAGAATCAGCTCTTACTACAGGGTTCTCAAGTATGTTGTTAGGCTCTTTGTTCTAAATAGCTTCTTTTTCCCAAAGAACATACTTGCTAATTAAATCAAATTGAATCAAAGAAGTAAAGTGAAAACTTGATTCTGTTAGTTAAAAATAGCAATTCTCATGTCATTTTTCTCCTGCTATCCACTGAGAAAAAGTTTTTTACCTTTGTGACAGTTATGTTTGCATAACCTCAGGTTTGAGTCTAAAAAATTGTTTTGGCAGTAAATAGTATTTGTTCATGAAATATGTGCTTTTCTGTGTTCAACTGAAAGGATAATGACATCATCAGAATGTGCATCTTTCCTTTTCTTTCTTCTTCTTTTTTTCTGTCCTTTCCTTTTCTTGTCTTTTCTATCCCAAAGCTTTGGGAAAAAGAAGAAACCTTTTAGATTTTTGAAATGATTCATTGTCTTTATTTTACAAGAGAATTAAAAAGACAAATCAAAGAGCTTTTCCTGGTTACAAAACTCCAAACATAACACGGGAGAATTGATTATACCTTCATATAGGTATAATAAGGGGCATAACTGTAACTATAAGGGGCATACCTAGGATGAGAACCCAGTTCTTTCTGCCTCCAAACCCTGGGCTTTCCTATCTCCATGGTGCTTCATACTTTATGCTCTAAGCCAGTCAAAGCAAAATATTAGGAACAAAAATTTAGGCCTCAGTGAATTTGTGCTTTAACCAAATAGACTTTTTTTTTCCTTATTTACTTCTAATTTGGCCTACATTGCCACAATCAACCGTTACATAATTTAAAAAATATTGGATATTTTATTTTGTTTTAGAAATTTAGGTCAAGGGGGAAAATCTGTTGAAATAATTAAAAGAATTTTTAAAAGAATTTACTAGATTGTGTCTAATTTTTATGACATCCTTGAAAACAGGTGCAATTTTTCTCATCTTTCAGGTAGAAACTGCAGTCAAGAGTGGGTCAGTAGCTTGCCAAAGTTTGTAGCATCTAAGATGCAGAGCTTGGCTCAGAAACTACCTTGCTTTTTCCACTATGTCACTGTGAGTCTCATGAAACTGGAAAGATCTAGTTAGGAATGCAAATAGCAAAAGACCTCCATCATATTTTTAGAATAACTTTGAGAAGTCACCAAAATAATATATCTTGGAATAAACATATATTTTTAAAAAAACATAGGAACAGTAAGAAAAATTTGGACTAATAATGACAAAAATAGGAAAAAACCTTTTTAAATACAATGCTTAGCCAATAAAATAAACAACCATTTTTTCTATGTTGAATAAATCTAGAAAAAGTATCTATCTTAATTTAAATCCTAACACTATGATTTCAAACAAATTAGGTAACCAACTATTTTATTTAAGAAAATACTGCTAAAGTTTATTTGAACTGCTAAATTTATACTGCTAACTTATTTTATATATGTGTGTGTAGTTTATTGACTGTCTCCCACTATGAGAATGTAATCTCCTCAATAGTAAAACTTTTTGACTGGTTTTGTATTAGTTTTCTATTGCTGCCATAACAAATTGCAACACAAATTTAATGGCTTAAAATGATGCATTTATTATCTTATAGGTCAGAGTCTGGCATGGGTCTCCCCATACTAAACTTAAGGCATCATCAGGGCTGCACTCCTATCTGGAGGCTCTAGGGAGAATCTGTTTCTTTGCTCATTCAGATTGTTAGCAGAATTCAGTTCCTTTTGGCTGTGGAGCTGATGTCTCAGTTTTCTTGCTGGCTATAAGCTGAAGGCTGTTCCCAGGTTCTACAAACTGTCACATTCCTTGACTCATGGCCCCCTCCCTCCATTTTCAAAACCAGCAACAGTAAGTTAAGTCTTTTGTTTTTGTTTTTGTTCTTGTTTTGTGGGGAAGATCAGCCCTGAGCTAACATCCATGCCAATCCTCCTCTTTTTTTTTTGCTGAGGAAGACCGGCTCTGAGCTAACATCTATTGCCTATCCTCCTCCTTTTTTTTTCCCTCAAAGCCCCAGTAGACAGTTGTATGTCATAGTTGCACATCCTTCTAGTTGCTGTATGTGGGAAGCAGCCTCAGCATGGCCGGAGAAGCGGTGCGTTGGTGCGCGCCCGGGATCCGAACCCGGGCTGCCAGTAGCGGAGCGCACGCGCTTAACCGCTAAGCCATGGGGCCAGCCCAGCAAGTTAAGTCTTCATTTTGCCTCTCTCTGACCCATGCTTCTGCCTCCCTCTTCCATTTTTAAGAGCTCATGTGATTAGAGTAGGATCACCCAGATAATCTAGGATAATCTTCCTATTTTAAGGCGAGTTTATTAGAAACTTTAATTTCATCTCCAGTCTTAATTCATTTTGCCATGTAATATAACATATTCACTGGCTGGCTGCCTCTGTCTTCCTGGGCTCCTGTCTCCACTCTTTGAGTCATCCTTCCTTTTTCATGAAA